TTCGTGATAGAAGCCACGCCTTCCCTTATGCGTCGCAATTTCATTTGGCAGGGTGGGCGCGTTAGCTACGGGCGTTTGAAAGAGCGACACCTGTTAGAAACTCATTCGTAGCACTGGATATTTTAAAAGACTTTTTCACTACGTGACGCCCCACGACATTGTCATGCAGGAATAATTTTGTATGTCACATTCCAAGGATATACTGCGGTTATGACTATCAAAATAACCAGCTCTATAAATTCATTGTTATTTATATTAATCTCATGTTACGACAATCTTTCCTAATGTGTACGTTCTCGTATTTTATATAAGAAGTTAGTGCGTTTCGTTTTCGTAATAGTAACTATATTCTACAAGGAGTTTCTTACTACTAGACGTGCTAGCATACAGTACCGCACTACCGCAGTGCTAACTGTGTATTTAAATTCAAGGATCGACGCCGGAAGAAGCATTTACAGTACAGTACAAAACATTCCAAGAATTTGGAATTTTTCCTCCTCGCGTCATTTCGGTGAGCAAAAATGAAAACAAGAAGAAAAAGCAGGCATCAGAATATAGATTTTTGATTATTGAGATATATTTATTCGCATTTACTGCGAATCTGAAAATATATAACTGGTTTATCTAATTCTGGTCACATATTCCGAAAATGACCCGCGCAACTGATCCCATTGAAACGTGGCCTGAATATTCCTCATGACCACATCCAATTTCAACAGACAAAAAATAAAATAGTTCGTGCAAGTAAGGACGGTGTTCACGAATTGAGTTCTTATGCGTTCATTAGAAAAAGTGTTAATTAGTCGTTTAGATTCTTGTGTCCTTTGGTATTCGTGGCGTCGGGACTAAACTAAAACTATTCAAAACATCACATGAAAATATCACTATACAAAATAACGAACGAGGAAACAATCGAACGTATATATATAGCTAATATATGCACCTTCGAATAAAATCGTGAAAAAATGAGTATTCATTCTTGTGCGTCCGAAAAATTCTACAGTTACGAATCTCACCGATATTTAGGCAAAAAATTAATAAATATTCCAGCTTCTAAAATCTAGACGCGTGCGTCGTATAAAATTCCGGTGACCCGATTGAACTATTTTCGGCTGTATATATTTTGAAAATCTTTCACCCGACAGGGTTTTCAATTAAGTCTTGCACTTTTGAAGACGACATTTTATTCGAAATGGGAAAATAAAATCAATCGAGTCAGCAATCCCGTATGGTAAGATGGCATTGAAACGACGAGTATATTGTATATTCATCTATGCTTCTCAGCTTCGTAAAATTCGTTCGAACTTCGACAGAAAAATAAATAAACCTAGAAAACCCCCCGCATGTCGGTTAAATTACAAGGCTGACTTGGTCTACAAAGAGAATNACGTTCATTCCTGCCACAAGTGCTTAACTCAAGAATACGCAAGTAATCTTTTTCACAATTAATCAGCAAATCTAAGAACACAGGAAACCATAAGCACCGCAGCCCTGATTTGATTTTGATAAGTTTTTATCACATGAAAATATCACTATACAAAATAACGAACGAGGAAACAATCGAACGTATATATATATAGCTAATATATGCACCTTCGAATAAAATCGTGAAAAAATGATTATTCATTCTTGTGGGTCCGAAAAATTCTACAGTTACGAATCTTACCGATATTTAGGCAAAAAAATTAATAAATATTCCAGTTTCTAAAATCTAGACGCGTGCGTCGTATAAAATTCCGGTGACCCGATTGAACTATTTTCGGCTGTATATACAGTTTTTGAAAATCTTTCACCCGACAGGGTTTTCAATTAAGTCTTGCACTTTTGAAGACGACATTTTATTCGAAATGGGAAAATAAAATCAATCGAGTCAGCAATCCCGTATGGTAAGATGGCATTGAAACGACGAGTATATTGTATATTCATCTATGCTTCTCAGCTTCGTAAAATTCGTTCGAACTTCGACAGAAAAATAAATAAACCTAGAAAACCCCCCGCATGTCGGTTAAATTACAAGGCTGACTTGGTCTACAAAGAGAATCACTCAAGCTTCTAAGACATTTCGCAGAAATACCCGATACAGTAAATCAAAAAATAAAAGCCCGTAACCCAAGAATTTTCCAAGCGATTCCTTTTGGCATCAATCCAATTACTTTCCCCATGAATGACTCAGTCACATTTTGACTTTCCAGAAACTCCGACATTGACAGCAGTAAACTCGGCATGGTAACCTTTCGGAACACTCTTCAACTGGGTCAAGACAATTTTTAGCGGGAAAAACACATTGTTTACGGAGAAAAAAAAAAAGTAAGCAACGGAGGACACAAATTTCGGTCAGCAACGTCAGGACAAGTCGGCGGAAAATCGCCGACTGAATTGGGGCCACTGGTCTATAAAGAAATCCGCTGTCTTCATTGTCTTCACAAGTCAGTCTCCTGTTCAAGATCACACAGGCAGTATCTGAGAAATCTCTGCTTGCTGGGATTCTATTCGGTGAAGAAATTTTCTTTCATTGTTTCATCATGAGATCTCTGAAGTTTACGGTGAGATAATGCTTCATGTGACCTAAGCTCAGCGCAATTGCGTACGCAAAAAATATTCCAGATTTGACAGCAGAAAAATTTTTTTCTCTACATGAGGTTTCATAAAATGTTCCCTTATAAAAGCTTTCCATCTAAACAAGTAACATTTCGTTACGATAAACGTCTAGGGACAGAAAAATCGTCATACTCTTGCAATGAAAAAATGTTTTTACGGAGATTTTTCCATAAATAGTTGACACATCGTTCCAGAAATCTGCCAACTTCCTTCCAACTTACGTTTTTCCTGTAAAAATCAGCATGCTTGAACAAATTAGTAAACTTTTCCATCGGAATAATACATTCATCGCAGTATGAGTACAGGTGTAATATTTCTTCAGTAAAAACTTATTTTGTCCTTCCTATTAATAGAAGGAAAACTGAAAAAATCGTGAAAACATGAACTTTATTGTGTTGAGTAGTGAAATTTATTTTTACAATAACAATATGATTTATAATCGCGTATAAAGTTTTGGCCAGAACCTGAAAAAATCGTTGTAATAAAAAATATGTTATAAATGAATATGACTAATATTTATAAACTTGTCAAACGAATTGTTTAATCTATAAATTGGTAATACTCTATCTAATGTATATGACGAAACATGAATGTACGGTATTTTAGGGCATGCACAATTGCTTGGATATACAGTGAGACCCCAAGATGTGGATGTAGTTGATCCATCAAGAGTGTCCTGATGTTGGAATGTCCCCAAGTCAAGTCTCATTTTCCCTTAGACTTCAATGCTAAGGTATTTAATTGGTTCTCCTTCTTGTCAAAAATTAAAAATAAGTCCTCAAAAAATTCAATAAAAATTGTTTTCCTCGACTTAAATTTGTGGAAAGCACCAGTGCAGAACAACCACATAGAATCTGATCTTTTGGTATCATAAGGAGATCAAAAAGCAAAGAAAAAAAAGTCTCGCTAGAATATGAACAGATGATAGAAAAAACTCTGAAAAAAAGAAGCACATCAGCTTGCTTTTGATCATGAATTAGAGTGCATTTACTTGAAATATTTTTCTCCAATTTTTGTTGAAAATAAACAGCTTCATTTCTTTGAAAAATATCAAAATAAAAAAATGTTTCAATTTTTGGGAAAATTCAAGAGAAGTGTCCCTAACTCAAGCCAATGTCCAAATGTCTGGCCTGATTTATTTGTATTCTCAAGTGTCTTTAAATCGAATTATCCGTATGTTCGGGTTTCCGCATACCGGGGTCTCACTTTTCATGATTCGCAAACAATACTTATTCATTCGGTTCTACGAAAATAAAATGCGAAACAAAACTTGGTGTACACAAATCGCAACTTGTTGTGTTTGTCAGGGCGGAGATTTTAAAACGCGGTCACGATTTCAAACATTTTCAAAACACGGTAATATCCGAAAATTATCTTCCGCAATATTGAAATGTTTCAGTTTTTGGCAGTGATGGTCTCAATTATCGCATCAGTCCAGTCCTCTGAGCCAATAAAAAGTTTGCAGCCTGAAAATGGACCAAATGTGCAGCGTTCGAGTGGACGGTCATCTTCCCCAGACGAAAAAGTTGCTTTCATGTCAGTTTCAAGCAAATTGCGCATTTTCAAGATTACAAATATCCCTCTTGTAATTCTTCCAGGATCCCTGGATTCAGGACTGTAACGACAAGACAGTTCGAAGAAATCGACAATGCCATCAAATTGGCCGCTAGAAATCCGAGACAACTAGTACGGCAAGCTTTCGACGTAAGTTTTTACGCTTGTGTGAAAGGTGCGAGAGTTGAATTCACAAAAATATTTTTCAAAATATTCCCAAAACGAGGAAAAATGGCATGTCGAGGACCAAAAAAAAAAACAATGAGATTTTTAAAATTCCGACGAAATCCCTGGAAAAAAATCCGAGAAACGTCGGACTTCGTGACAATAAACTATGAATGCACTCGGCAAATTCATGAATCCCGGGCATTCTCATAAATAACTCATCTCGCAATGCCCCTTTATTCAGATATCGAAAATAACTTATTCACGGAAAGAACTTTCAATACACGCAAAAAAGAAGAGGGAAGATAACGAAGAGTTGAAAAGGTTCAAGTTCGTTCTCGAAGATTTGCCACATTTTCTTGAAAAATCGTTCACCTTGAAATCCCTTAAGATGTGGCAAAAAGCAGAAAAACCTAAGTCACTGTATTTCCAAAAATAGAAAAGGATATTATTAACTTCTGTTCGTATAGCTTCTTGGTGAATGAAAAACCTCAGATAAAATCATCATAAGAGGGCGATGAAGAAAGAAATAATGTCGTCAACAGCTTGTGCGAGGACATTCAAAAAATTGCCTGATTTTCATGTCCTCAAGTTGAACCTGCCTTTGTATTTATCGCTAGAACGTGCTGAATCGGTTTGAAGAACTTTTCATTCTGCCTTTTTTTTTTTCTTGAATAGGAGAATCAGAACTGGACGTCTGCAATGGGGATCATCATCCCGGCAATTGTCAGATTGCTGTTCCCGGGATACGAAATTTCTCTTCCACTGATCAGCCTTTTCGTGGAAATGACGTTCCGCTTCTTGGAGCTTTTCTTGAGCTAAATATTCATCAAACTGGTCAATTATTGTTAATTGTTGAATCAAGAGCTCGCGATTGTTTCTCATTTGTTTGAGCTCTCGTCCACAACTGATGAAATCCATGTGATTTGTATTTTCAATAAAGAGATCCGTCACCCAAGGCATTGATAAAATTTGACAAAACTGAAGAAACTACTGCATCATAACGCGAGACAAAAATTCTTATTCTACATTGATCTTTAGACCAGGATTTTGTCTCTTGATAAACCGCAATACCGCATGAAAACAATTTCCTTGCTGCGATCAGCAGACTTCCGATAAATACTTGGAGGCTTCTTCACAACTGAACTCTCACAATACGAAATTAGTTTCTGGCACGATTGTTGTTTAAGGCAATGTTCCCCAACCCAGAACTTCTTTTTGCTGATCCGCGGGAAATTTTCCGCAGCATAACAAATTGATCAAAAGTAGCAATACAGTCTGTTATCATCATCTGAAATTCCAGGAAGGCAATGGCAGTTAAAATTATCTCAGGAAAAATCGAAGTTGGCTTTTCTCATAATTGCGTTTCTGACGAATTTTCACCTGCTGAAATAGATTATTTCAATTTTTCACTCTGAGACACCTTCCTTCAAGCCCACCTTTCTAACTTTTTGAAGACAATCCACTAAAGGTTCTTTACTGATTCTTAACTTAATTTTTGGAAAAAAGCATGACCTTTTTACATACCTGCCACAAAGTATTTCAAACAAAACTTCTTCAAGTCTGCAAAAATTTTTAAAAACTTTGAAAATCGGCAGAAATGTTTTTGGATATTTGCCATTCCGCGAACAAGTTAGGCCAAAAAAATTTGGGGAGCACTGGTTTAGAGAGTTCACCTGCACCGTCTTCACGTTGCTTCGATTCACGACAAACAAAACTGATTTTCCACTTTTACAGTACAGGTATTTTCTTGAAGACCCGTAAATATATTTCACAAGAACGTGCTTCATGAAATTAGTTCTCCTCGTTGATATGATAATATCATTCGACGCATAAACGAGTGCAGGAGGTTTTGCCAAAAATTGTTCAGCGATAGATTCCCATGGGGACGAAGCTGAACGGCCTTGAAACTCTTCCAAGAGCACATGCATTCACTCCGAGCAGGTTCGCCAATCTCAGCACCCCTTACATTAGTTAAATTCTGCGCAGGATTGCGATTCTTTTCTATTCTATGAATAAATCAAAGCCTTCCGCAATAAAATGAAGATACAGTACAGTCTTTTATACAGCACTTGCCTTGGTCACGAGGCCCGTAAACATTCGAACAGAAGCAAATCAATGTAAAAACATGGGAGAGTAAATCTAACGTAAATTTTAACATTCCGAGATACTGCATTTCAGAGATGAAGTTGAACTTAGGGTGGCACAGTTCATTGATGAAGCAGAAACAGTATTATTTTTCATCAACAGGAAGAAGATTCAAGGAATCGAGTGGAATTTAATCACCTCATCCGCCATTTTACTGACATGACGCGCGTAGTGTCAACACTTGAAGCACCTCGAAAATTCCCGAACAAAGGCTCCTCCCGGATTAAATTTCGTAGTTCTCCAGAATTTTCGGATATTTTGCAAGAGGTTCAATCTGTGTCTCCGTCGGCAATCACCTGAAATACGGGAAACTGACTTTTGATCATGACGAAAGTGAGAAGAAAAATTCTCCCGAACATACGCTCATTTCTCAACCGATGCATTCACCTGGAGCAGCAACCTTTTCGGCCAGATACCTTAATTTTCCAGAGGATAGAAGTACAGTACGTCCACAACAGTTTGGTCGAGACGCTTCTTTGGCCAAGGATTCCTTACATTCATATGATATCCGACCATGGCAGCGATGAGCTACACCAAAGCTTCTTGAAGATTTGACCTTTAGAAGTGCATAAATATTCGAAAATTACTTGGAATGGCTCTTTGACTCGTATGCAAGCTTCGATTAACATATGTAACTGTAATTTAATCATGTCCAGCAGTATTACTTGATGAAATATGCACAAAAAAGGAAGTGACCCGCGTATTAAAGAACAAATCACAATAATGCATAGTACTGTAGTTGATTTTCCTCGTTTGAACAGGGGTCGTGAAATTGGAACAACTTAGCTTGTCATTTTTGCAAGAAGAAATTGAAAATATCTAAACTACTGCTTCTTCGAGTAAGTTGGAAGTGATACTCAGCGATGTAGTCCCAACGGAGATATGGACTTGAGCTAAAATCATAAGTTGAATCCGGTCAAGGACAGCGAAGAATTGATTATTTAGAACCTCCGAAGAAAAAATCCAATAAAAACAATCGCATATTCTGCCTGCATAACTGAAATTATTGAATGAGCAAATAAACCGTTAAAGGAACTCACATACTCGAGAACATACCTCGCAACTGCGAAAATAATACTACAACACGGAAAGAAAAGTAAAAGCAATTTCAAAACAACGAGAAAAAAAAAACAAATGCATTTTTCCCGGCCACGCGACGTGAGTAATACCCGAAATACGCGGATTTCCCTCTAAAAATAAATCGTTCTTCACTATTATCAGTAAGGTAAAACTGTGGAAAACTATTTCACAAACGAAAGTCATCGCTGCAATCGCAATGGCACCATGCGCAGACTAGATATCAACGACGGGAAAACAAAAACTTTCCTGGTAAGCGACGTGATTTTGCTCGGTTACGGTTCAGTCATTTCATTGCCTCTGTTACTCGGGAAAAAATCTGGATAATTTCTTTCGTTCAAATGCGTCTCGTTTTCCCGAAATGATTCCTTTTTCTCCTACGACGTCGGTGGGCTGAATGAGGGGCGGGGGGGGGGGGGGGGGGGGGGGGGGGAAAAAAAAAAAAAAACAAATGCATTTTTCCCGGCCACGCGACGTGAGTAATACCCGAAATACGCGGATTTCCCTCTAAAAATAAATCGTTCTTCACTATTATCAGTAAGGTAAAACTGTGGAAAACTATCTCACAAACGAAAGTCATCGCTGCAATCGCAATGGCACCATGCGCAGACTAGATATCAACGACGGGAAAACAAAAACTTTTCTGGTAAGCGACGTGATTTTGCTCGGTTACGGTTCAGTCATTTCATTGCCTCTGTTACTCGGGAAAAAATCTGGATAATTTCTTTCGTTCAAATACGTCTCGTTTTCCCGAAATGATTCCTTTTTCTCCTACGACGTCGGTGGGCTGAATGAGGGGCGGGGGGGAGGGGGGGATACACTGCACTTCAGCAAACAATGTAACGGTTTTGATCACCGAGCGACGGCTCATTTTTTCCTGAGGACGAAGACGTGGCCGAGCCGTCCGGCAAAGTCTCAGCTTCTTCTTCTTCTTCTCTTCCTCCTTCTGCTTCTCACGATTACGATGATCCAAAATAGCTCTCCAGATCCTAAGCTCCATGCCTCCTCTGCAATCAAATGAAAATATAGTACGTACTTCTTCACAATCAAAACAAATGGAAAAATACGACGGGATTTGAAAATGTTTACTCACAGCGCTATATGTAAGATTTAAAATAATATTTCCGCGTCAATCACGATCATAAGTTACTTTTAAATGAGTAGACGTCACTAGCAGTCTTGATAGTACTGAAGTTTTAGATTCAGTCTTACAGATAGATTTATTTCTGGACTCCTGTTCGGTGCGCATGAGCATAGCTACTATAGCAAGCCCAATTCTATTGGATTCCAAAAAACTTTCTACAAAATAAGATGAACTTGTTCCAAGTTGACCCACTCCGACAATTCCTTTCCAAATTTTATGAATAGCTTACACCCAAAATTTGAAAAACAAGAACACGGAGATGTTTCCATACCTCAGTACGATTTGAAAAAGCTAGAAAACTTTGTGCGTGAAATTGCCCAGAAATTTTAGATTTTATGCAGTGGTTTCATTTCGTAAGTCTTCCGTTCAGAAATTCCACGATGAATAGGTGATGGAAGTGCGTGCAAAAATGTAAAATAGATAGGACCAAAATAAGTTCAACCAAATTAGTTTTCAAGAGTTGATTCAAGTTGAATAGAAGTGCATAAAATATTTTGATTAATTCAATGCTACCAAACAAATGATACTTCTAGGATTTAATTCGAAGATACAGTCGGAAATAGAAAAAATAAAAAAGGTGCTCCGGAGTGGGACATTTTTTAGAAGTCCATTTCTCACGGGAGAAAATGCAAACACTTACAGGATCCGTATTTTGAGTCATAATAAAAACAAACAAGTCAATTTCTCAAAAAATGACAGGATGTGACGCACCTCAGATCCAACCTTCGAAGATCTTCCCGTTCCATAAGCTCCAGAACGTCGTTGAGAACAAACGCTTCCGAACAAAACTGCAACAACAATAAAAACATATGCCATTTATTTTCTGCATGGAATAATCACAAAACTCGTCAATTGGAAATAAAATGGAAACCTTCCATAAAATCCAGCTGACCTTCTGAATGGAAGCTTCGTCGACACCAAGGGATTTTAGCCAGTCCTGGAGATCGTGATATCCCGAAATGCTGGCGAGGGAATTAACGGTGCCGGTTCCAGAGTCGGCGTAATCTGGCCCAGGAACCGGGATCCTCAAATTGTTGTTGTTGCTCTCATCGCGGGCTTCTCGACGACCAGACCAACAACCACATCGAGCATTTTCTTGTGACGAGTCGTTCAGCATCGATGTGAGCCGCGCCCTCGCCTTCTTCTGATCCTCGAAAATACCCATCAGAGCATCCCTCATATTCGCTTCGGTATCCACAAGCCGCTTCAGTAATCTGAAAGAAAAGGAGCCAAAGTTTTGCAACTTAGTTTCAACACGAATACTATACTGTAGTTGATTTTCCTCGTTTAAGCAGGGGTCATAAAACTGGAACGACTTAGCTTGCTATTTTGGCAAGAGGCAATTGAGAATATCTCGAGAAACGGACTGAGCAGCTTCTTCAAGTAAGTATGAACTGATATTTAGCGATGCAGTCCCGAATCCAGTCAAAGACAGTAAAAATTTGATTTTTAAAACCTCTGAAGAAAAAATATAATGGAAACACTGCACAATTGAAATTACAGACTGAGCAAATGAACCGGAAAAGGAACTCGCTCATCAGAGAACAGAGCGGCCAACTGCAAGAAAAATATCAAGACTGAAAGAAGCGTCGTCCGGTTTGAAGAGTGACGTACTTCACAAACTGGGATACTTCAGAATCTTTGGACTACCACCGCATTTTGATTCATCTTCCACATGAGAAAAATCTTACGCGTTGAAATTTACGAACACCAAGAAAACCGGAAGGAAAACAGATGCAAGAGAGTCCGGAATATTCGAAAACTCAACAGTTAAATTGACGCACAAATACAAGTTCAAATCAGTTGGTCTCGTACGCTGTATAAAAAAAACTACTGTATTATAAATTCGCATGTTTTTATGGCAACTGAAAATGATATCTCTTTAAAATTTGAAGGAGCAGTATAAAGATTTTATTCAAACGGAAATAACTCAAAAACGGTTAATGCTGGAAAGCAGAATCTGGACTCAAGAGAAACTCACGCCTCCTACGTTGAAATGGTTCGTGGTTCTTTCATTGCACAAACAATATGAGTTCCATGACCATTTTAATTTCAGAAACTGTAAAAAAAACTGAGAAATTGAAGGGAAGGGGGTGAGAATTCTTGCTTGGATTTCTCACAAATGAGGCTCAAGGGAAAAAAAATTGCCTGGATTACATTGCAACCAACTTGAAACAAATTTTTCCTCTACTGTATAGCAATCTCATCGCGGTGATCAAGGCTCATCGCGACACTGATCAAGATCAATGCAAGCGTGGGAATATTTGACATGCCGCACCTCACGTTTTCCCTTCGCAGTGAAAGGAGCTCATCTCGCATCTGCGTTTGATCCCGAAGCAGTCGCAAAACAGCTTCATTCCCACGGATGCCCGCGCCGTCTGCACTGCCGGTGCCCATATCGACATTGTCCTGATCCATCAAAGAACCTGGGTCACACGAACCAGGAGACTTCAGAACAGCGTCCTGGAAAAATGAGATTTAAAATCAAACAAGAGTACAGAGTAACCAACCAGACTGAAACATTAAAACAGAACAGAGTTGCGTCGAAGAGTCATTGATAATACACACCTCCAACTCGCTCATTAAAAAAGACACATTACTTCAGAGTGAATGAACAGTGAGGTACAGTACAATAGAATTTCGTTATAACGAACAATAGATTAAAACGAAGCATCTTTTGAGTCCCTGACCAATAGCCAAAATGTTGGAAGATTCCTTTATAAGGAATTTTTTGTTACAACGAAGCTATTTTACTGCTCCCATGGCTTCGTTGTAACGATATTTTACTGTACATTAACGACAATCCCAAAAGTATTCCAACTTAGCATCTTCTATCTGCTTCAGGGTTCCTAAATCACGCACAGCAACATTATCACACTAAAAATGCATAGGCCAGTTCCATGCACTCAGGGGAAACCTTGAAGAAAACGATGGGTCGATCGATCTCCGAGTTTCATTTTCAGCTTGCTTTTCAATTTTCGGTGGAATTCGTACATTTTTTGGAATTCGAACTGAACCACAACTTGAGTGTTGAAACAGACAATTAAAAAAAAAAATCAGCTAGTGGTAAATTCTGGAATGCAGGCACTTCTGATTGGGGAGGAAACGAACAAATGAGGTTTGTTCATGAAAGAAGGTTTTTGACGTTTTCATTCCATGATAGGGATCAAGTTTTATGGTTGACCGTGTTGCATATGAGGACAGGATTTCGCTTCAAGTTCCCGTATGTAACGGGGATTCTCAAAATAGATCCCAATACAGTATAAAAAAAGTTGATAATTTGCATCTACCGAGAAAACAACGCACAGGATTACACTGTAAAATCACTTTTCAGGAAGAATTATCTTTTTTTTTCAGTATCAACGTGGCTACCCATTTCTATGGTGCCCATGACAAGCACGTATTCTTGAATACTGTCTTCAGGAAGTGACCCCTGATTCGCGCAACAGTTCTTGTGCTATTTTTAGTAGGACTTGCCTTACGAAATTTAAGTGACCTCCACTATGTGATCATGAATATACCGTAAAACGTATGCCTGACCCTGCATATAAGAATACCTTGGTTTGAAATGGCATATCAACGCAATTCTGAGGGTCAATTTTTTGTCATTTCATACGACGAAAAAAACAAACAAAAAACCAACAATTACAGTACATGTACTTTAACCCAATTTCAGAAGCATATACGGTACAGCCTCAATTTCGATGCATTTCCACAAGATTTCTAATTTTACACCCGAGTCCTTTCTTCATGAACAGTAACTCGAGACACCCTGAAAGCCTTGCATCAACATTTGCCGCAAGTATTTGAGTTCAAAACTAATTGAATCACTCACAAAAATTCATAAACGAACGTAAAAACTTGAAGAAAACACTCCGTAAATTGAAACAGATCAGCCAAAGATGCCAATCACGATGTGCAAAACTCACTGCAGTCTCGACACAGTTCGCAGGCTCTTCGGGAATCGTCATATGCGTAGGGGGCTGGATACTTCGTTCCATCAAGTAAGGCCCAGTAGTGTGTGATGATGAAGCAAGAGAATCCTCTTGCGCTAATCAAACACAAATAACATCCACGAGTTAATAATCAGCGTCCGCTACCCGCGTTATCTCTTCAGATAACACGAGTTCCCACATCAGCAGTTTATCTCACGATCCGACCGAACGAAGCTACACGACAATTCCGAAAACACAACTTCCAACCAAGAATTAAGCCGCTAGTACTGCACTGAACAATCAGCAAAAAAAATGACTAAGAATACACCATCTATGAACAGAAAACCAAGACAAAAGTTCTCTCAAACGTTGAAAAATTCAAGGCATTCCTCCTTTGGCTCAGCACTAGACAGCAAAATCCGAAGGAAAGAGCGTTTTCTTAAACGTTTTCATCAAGTCCCGAGTTTGGTTCATTTAACTTTTAATGGATAGGTGTCGCCTTAAATGTCTTACCTTCCGTTCGGTGGTACAGCATTTCGATAATTTGAAAGTTAGAACATTTCAGTCTTAGACAAGCTAAGATGCAGTACATTTGATCAAGTAAAATGTAATAAAAGTACTGTCGTAAAAATCCGTTGCAGAAACAATTAGTCATAGAGAACCCCATCACATGAAATTAAAACCTTTTGAGACAAAAAAAAAATCATTACACAGGGTAAATCATTGTAGATAAGATCATTGTACATGAAGTCCACCTGTATAAAGCTACAAGAAACTCCTCATTAAACTTCCAAAATTTTCCTTGAACAGCCACTATTAAGCCAGTCTGAATCCCATGGAAATGCTCCCTACAGTAACTCAAATAAATTACTCAACACACATCCGTTTCACATGAAATAATTGACGACTCAGATATGACTAAAATAATTGATGAATAGGAAAGCTTCACATCAAATCGGAAGCAAAAAGTTTTTTATTGGACCATCACTTCTTGAGCAGTCCGTCATTCGAAGCAGGTTCCCTATCTCACGAAAAAAATCGGTGTTTGCACGAGTGAATTAAGCGAAAATTCAAATACGAGAGGCGTCCATCATCCGAGTATACGACCCATGTGAAGGGCTTCATATTAAAGCTAAACCAGCCCGACGTTTCAAAGTTTGAAAGGGGCTATACTGTACTTGAGAAATATCGCGTAAAATTTACCTTCGACCAGGATACAAAACGATAAAATACTCACCAACATTGTAGAAAGTAGAATCGGAATCCTGCCTCTCCCAGCGACTCATTTTCCTCTCAGCCAAGCTCGAAGCAAGATTCTCGCCGAGATCTGGCGACAGGACCATGATGGCGGCCTGCACAGCAGTCCTCATCAAATTGTCCAACGCGAACATCCAATGTGGCTTAATGGAGTGTGATCGCAGAACAACGTTCACAGCTTCGGTGAACAAATAAAGCGCAATCTGCAGTTGATTGATGCTTGCCCCGTCGTACTCGAGCTCTTCTTTCAACGACTTCACCACGTCACCAATAGCTTGTTTATTCTGGTCGGCGATGAACGACTTTAGGCTTTTCATTAACTCTTGTAGATTTTCCTATGAAATAAAAAATACACCAAAAATGTAACGACTCGTCACATTCTCATCTCGAAGGATGTCAAAAATGGTTACATTGTAGAACTGAAAATTCACGGGTCTCAGACATTCAGCATTGAAACGACCAAAAGTACCCGTTTTTACTCGAGTACACTGCGTCCTGAAGTAAGACACGCACCACAATTTTTCGATCGAAAATTTTGACGAAATCCTTTCCCCGAGTAGGACGCGCATACCATTCTTAGGGCCTGAAAATCTATAATAATTCAAAGATACGAGGCACCAGAATTTTAATTCTAACACGATTTAGCTTGAATTCAATTAAACATAAATTATTTTGATTGAAAAAATTCCAGTTGAAAATTTAGTATCACATTATGTTCGTGTGAGGCGCACATAAACTTGACATTTTGTGAAAATTTTATCCCCGCCTGTGACGCGCACCCCCCCACCCTTTCTTTGTCTCAATTTTGAGAAAAAAAGTGCGTGTGGTACTCGAGTAAATACGGACCACATCCCTCGTTTCGTTCCTCATCTTATTTCACAACTAAACAAACAAATATCTGCTCCCCCTAAAATCAATTCTTAGTTAGATAACATCAACAAGATAAAAAGCAGTTTCATCAGTGTTTTCAAGAGAATTTTCACCCATCCAAGGCCGATTGACTTTCCGTCAAAAACAAAAATCGACCATGCCTTCCAGAATGACTACGAAAGTTCCGGAAAATACGATCCAACACACCTGACTGACGAGCGGCTCCCCGACTTGGTCCTCGATCATACTCAACCAGATCTCACAAATCCGCTTCTCATCCTGAGACAAGACACGCCCTAACGTGGTACGCCTCTGCGAATCCTTTTTGAGCAAATAAAATCCATCTTGCTCCTTAGGTCCATCGATCGTCGAAGTGATCGAAGTTTCTCTGTGACGGAAACCAGGAACGTGGCTCAACGTCGGAGTCCTCGGGGTTGTCATCCCAGAGTGAATGAGACTCGCAGTCGCCGTTGAAGTGTTACCATTCGAGTCTACGATCTCCGGACTGAGCACTACGCCTTCCCCACGGCTGCCGGAAGACGCTCGCCGCTTGTAGTAGTCGTCAACATCCGCTGACAAAGGACTGCAAACCAAAAAATCACACTTTCACAGACCGTCATAAAATAAACATAGGGGCCCCGACATGTGGACGATTCGACTTTCTGACACTTGATTACTCGAAAAATCTGACCCGACCTCCGGAAAATGTCTCAAGACATCTCTAGACAAATGGAAAATTTTTACACTTCAAATTTTTGAAATCTCTCGAACACATTGAGCTTTTTACAATCAAAAAAATAAATATTAATTTTAATTTTGCGTACTATAACTCATAATCCAAAGCATTGCTTTTTGGGCTTCCTGTCATGCCAAAAATTCTTTTTATTGGTTTCTCCTGAACTGTTACTTCCTGCATCCTGAGAAAAATTATTGCATTCAATTTTTGGGGGGCTATTTCCTAATCATTGATCAATAGGAAACCAGCTAAATAAATTCCCTTTGAAGTTCAAGACATGCGGAGATTCCGAAATTGGGACAAGATCCAAGCACCAATCACGTCCACATCTCGGTGCCCCAATGTAATTCCTCGACCCCCGATTCAGCAACACACACGGATTCGAGACTTACACACTCCACAGGCACACAATTTTCATCAACACAGCACTTTCACAAAGCTCAAGCAAATGAACACAAATGAATGCTCGTGACTTTCAAGCGAAGCTCTGTGTCTGAAGAGCTTCACGTAAAGAATTCAAAAAGTTAACGCAAAGCAGCACCGCTTTGTGTCGACTGAACTTAGAGTAAGCCGTTCGTATCGGGTGCACAAAAATTTTACTCCGTCAACAGAGTTATTTTGCCCATAAAACTCCGGTTGCTCAAAAAATTACTTAGCGGAGAGAACTTATTCACGTTTCCAGTTCGCATTCCCTTCCAAGGGATATTTTCCCGCGTTTGGAAAAATCAGCAGAACATTACTGTATTCAGAGCTTAGCATCCAAAAAATCGCAACACCCTTCCGATTGCGCATCAACTTTTTAGACACCAGATACAAGCGACGTAGGTACAGCACGAACATGACTCGATGAATAACCCAGCCAATAAGCAGCGTCATACATGTAACGAAACAAGATTAATGAATTACCGAAACCCAGTCCTACGGCTACGAAACACAGGCCAAGAATCTTCCACCCTGAATGAAAAAAAAAAAAAACACAACATATAATCCAACAGAGAATGAAGACGAATACGAATTCTGCAAGACCACTTGAAAAGATTTAAAGACACATAGACAATTCGGGATATTGTATTTTGTGGGAACGCTGAAAATCTTGAAATAGCTCGATGCAACGGGAAGAAATAACACTTCAAGTGATTCCAAATGGGTGTGGAGAAATTCAAAAAATAGTCTCAGGACAAGGACGTAACATAAAATAGGCGAATAACCTTTACCTTCCGATCAGCATTCTCGGGGAGAAAGAATCCCTTTCCACAGATCGACGCCTCGAAGACATACTCCAAATCCTGGATAAGTACCGCATGCCAATCCCACGCATTATTGAAAACCGTACCAACTCGAATGACTATCAACCCAAACACATGCCAATCAAAATTCTAAATGTGAGTGAATCCGGAGAAGAGCGCCTCTAACCAAGCGAGGCATTGATCAGCCAAGTGTCACCTCTGTCACCCACATGTCAATTAGTGCGGGAAGGGAACGTTCGCGTTTCAAAATGACTCAGTTGAATTTATTACAGTCTATAATTCAAGTTAAACGTCGTTGGAACTCAGAAATCCAGTCTCATTCTATGGGAGAAGGAATTATTGAGAGAGCAACCAGAAATAAAGTATTGGATGACCATATCCAATAAGTTAGATTCGCTGGCATCATTAGAAAAAAAAAGGCAGCATACTGTACATTTTTCCAATACAGTACTGTAGAGTGCTTTCAGTGCTTATTCTGTACTTCAAAAGATCAAATATGAAGGAGCAGGTCTCAAAAAAGTTAACAAAAAGGCAAAAACAGTATTTAAGGAACAAGCTCAAAAATGTACTGTACATGGCGCTAACTTCTTCTTTAAGTATTCACTTCGAAACTTCCTGTTTATAGAATTGCTCACCAGAATTAGATTCATTAAAGTATAACCTGACACACACGATTAAAGCATATTCATTTTGATTCAGATTATCACACTGAAGAAGATGATTACTGCAATAGTGCAAATCACAGCTGTAGCATCTTCGGCTCGATTTGATGAGGTATAATCCAACGCAGTCCCAGACAAAAAAAATAAAAAACCCTCCTCAAAGACGCCTCTCTCTTGACAAAACTAAAATCTAAAAGTTTAAGAATTCCCCGCGTTGCGAAACTTGAATGAAGTACCCAGCGGACATACCCCAAATCCGGAGAAACTGGAGCAGGAGATCCACCCACGTTGGGGAATCTCGCGGAATTCTGCCCCCGCGAGGAGTTTGGAACAGATGCAGGCGGAGTCACTTCTCGACTAAGATCGTTTTCGGCAACGGACAACGTGTCGGTCAATGCAGGTGACGATTCCCGGGTGATAGTTTCGCCGGAAGCTCGCAGTCCGACACGTACTCGCTCCCCGGGAACGGATATGCTGCGATTGAATTCAACCAGGCTGTTCTGCGTCGTCAGCCGATTCGTCTGCTGCTTCTTCCTTGAGCCTGGGAGCCTGAGTGAAGCACGAGAGATTAGCTTTTTTTTAACGGAAGAATTTTCGTTTCCAGCGCGACGAGCGATATATCTTTACACGATAAAAAAAACGTAGGCGTCTAAAAAGTTGATAAGCAATGGAGGAGTTATCGCGTTTGGTGATTTGAAAATCACAGAGGGAACGTTCACAGAAGAAAATGAAAATAGGTGATGTCGATCTTTCAGAAAAATGGACCGAATTGGTGAAAATTGAGCACGAAGAAGGCCAGAACTCAAATATCACCAAGGGAATGACGGCACAGTGATTTTTCGACTTCCACAAGTTACGATGTCTAACGCCCTTCCAAAAATTCTATGGCTTTTTTTTACAACACTCATGGATTCTCATTAATGCGGGAAAATGTAATGTGGAGCTAAAATACGCATCCGCACAGCAGTTGGAACTTCGAGACCAAGTCCTTCAATGATCACATTGTTTTCAAATATGATAGTCACTTGCTTCCATTCATCAAAATTTTAGAAGGATTTCACCGCATCTCTTTAGCACTTCGATAATCGAAGATAATTACGAAACCCTTTTCACTGACGTTGAAAGACATGAAGTGTTTCACACAGTGATGCAAGGGGAAGAATTACATTCACATGGAAGCTCACACTTCGGCGGCATTCAAAACTGCATTTTAAATGAAGAGAGCATTTACGAAGGATCATCTGTAAGTTTTGAAATTAATTGAAATAAATACTGTATAAAAAACTTCACTTCCGATTCTAAAAAAGTTCTCTAGTCACGTCAACTTCCTCATCCAGAAATACAGGTGCACAAAAACTCATTAAAAATTATTTCGCTGTCTCAGCTTGACCACTTTGGTCACAACTCCGACTCATTACACAGCTCGTTAAGAACTGCAAACGCAGTTATAAACTTCGAAAAGCAAAGTAGAACGAATGAACGCTGATCGCAAGATAATAAATTGAGAAAACTCGTATGCACTGATTCATTCCCACAGTTGATTCAGACGCATCTCTCGAAAACGCGTTTTGATACTACTGTACTTAACCTGCTCCCAGTGACGGAAAAAAAATAAAAAGGGAAACAGTTGAACGAGTATACAACTCGTTTAATGATTACGTAATGTTTACCCATCAGCCTGGGGAAAAAAAGCATTTAAAAACTCACTCAAGAAATGTGTCCTGAAGTAAGTCGCCCGCGGTGGGTCGTTCATCTGGGTTTGGAATGAAACACTGCGAGATGAACTTCTTCGCACGTTCACTTAGTTCTTCCGGTATTCTCGGGTGCGACTTGTGATACCCCACCTTGGCAACAACAAAAACCGATTACTTCGATAAATTTTTTCAACGTTCATTCAACATACGGAGCGAGTCGCACCCCAGTTAGATAAGACTTCTCACCAAAAGCTCGGATATCTGAGCTGCTACGATTATACCATAGAAATAACACACTTATTTGCCAAGTGAGCGGGAAATTACAAAAGTTATCCTGCTCTGATCCCCAAGAACGATTGAACAGTTTATTCAATTTGCGATCCTTCATGATTTTTTCAAGAAACACTTTCAGTTTTCAAAGAAAAACTTTCTCCACAAAGAATGCTCGAACTGAAATTCATTTCAAAACTTGCTCAAGGGTGATTTTGACTCATCATTCATTCAAGAAGCCTTATCCGAATAACACCACAAACCATGAAAATGTTTTCAAATTTCATCAATATTAATTTTCGGACAATTCATCGACCAAGATGAAAATACATAAGTAGGAAATTGCAACTAGGCAAAGAACCTCACCTTTAGCCACGGAAAAGAATGAACCTGGAATTAAATCCTTAAAATACAACTTGAGTTATTCAACGCTCCATTTTCGTTCAGAGGAACGTGTTATTGACAAGGATTCTACGCAGTGGGTCAATTAAAACGCGACAATCCGTAATTGGAAACTCGAAGCTTCTCCCAACTGTTTGAGGGTGAAAATGCAAATTGAAAAGCCCAAGATTATATTTACCTTGAACATCGCAGCTTGCGGAGATCCAAGCTCGATAAACGGCGGCTTACCGGAAGCCATCTCCACTATCGTGCAGCCGAGAGACCATATGTCCGCCTTCAAACAAAAATTTACCCAAAATTAATTCATAAAACAACAGATTATCCGACCAGAAATTATTTCAATCGCAAAGGGTATTTCTACGTATCAAAAAGTAAACATATCCGCCCCCGGGAACCATTAGGTGATTTCTTCTTATAAATTAAGCAAGCCATTCTATATCTCATCGATTCACGACACGAAACCGGATTACACTCCTGAATTTACAATTTCAACTCTCGCAGAACATTCATCTACATCTATATGGAATTCAAAAATGAACTGGGCAATCGAGAAGGCACATCTTACTGCGCTTTACAATCAATTCATCAAATTAATCCGTGAGAAATGTTCAATAAGAACGTATGGAACAGAAAATGATGATTGAAAATATTTCTGAACACTTTTCAAAGGATGAAAATTTGGCCAGGTATTCAATCAAACCTTGAAAATGCTACGTACTCCCGAACCAATTATATTGTGTAACGAAGGACGGACCCGGTGACAGATGTAACTTTAGATGACTAAATCTAGAGTAGACCAACACAAAAAGCTAACGTGACAGAGAGTGAGATTTACCCACATTTAAAAAATGTGTCACTGCAAGGGACAAAGTCAGATACTGCATCACTTGATGAAATTCACACATCTATCATTGGCCAGAAACTTTCTGAACCCCGCGATAAAAAAAAATTCTTTCAAGTTTTTAGAGATTTCAAACAAATAGATACCGGTGGGCCATATCCGCGTTGTCCTTTATCAATGACCTCAGGCGCCATGTATTGCAGGGTACCCGTGAATGTTTCCGTTGACGGGCAAATACCGGCAAGGCGCTTGCTGGTGCCAAAATCACTGATCTTCAGTACACCGGAATAGGTATTCACGAGAACATTATCTCCTTTGATATCACGATGAACGATGTTCTGGTCGTGGAGATACTTGAGCCCCTCCAGAATTTGTCGCGTGTAGAAGGCGATCGTTCCCTCATTCTCCTTCATTGGACCCCATTTGGAGCGAATCAATGCGGAAAGACTTCCTAAAAAGAGTCCAAACGGTTTTATCACCCTAGACTGAGATTTCAATGTAAGTTCCTCAACAGTTCAGTCAACAACAACAAAAAAAACGAAGGAACTGATTTTAAATAAAACACTAAGGAAAACATCGGTTTTCACTCACACAATTTTCCTTTCGGCAGCAGTTGAAAATAGAAAACAATTATGAAAACATCCGGCAAGAAATGAATAAAAAATTATCTAACCTCCAGGAACCTGTTCCATGAAAATCTTGAAGTAACCGTTTTCAGACTTCGAACCCAGGTACTGCACGATATTCTTGTGCCTCAATTGCGAATGAAGCCTGATTTCTTCATGTAATGGCTGCACATCACTGCAAAGCAAACAAAATCCAATCACCAGTAGAGCGAAGAGATTTAAACCCCCGACATACCCCAGATTGATCTCAGGAACTTCCTTGACTGCAATACGAACTTGTGTGTTCAGATCTCTGGCTGCATAAACTTCCCCATATGTGCCTTTCCCCAACAAAACTTTCTTCCCAGACTCATCCAAATCATACTCATACTGTTGAAAAAGGGGACAACATAAATGTTGTAAAAATTCCTACATAAGACAAGGCAAATACATTCAGATAAGCGGTCAATATCTTACTGAGATTGGCGGCAAATCCTGAAGCGGAGCATCCAGATTTGGAAAGCTAGAATCCGGATCATCAGCCATTTGTTGCATCAACTCAAAAAACCGGGATCTCGAGTCTTCGGAAGGGAAAAAAATCTGGAAATCGTCTGAGTTCTGGTGTACGTAGAGGTACAAGCATCGTTCGTCCCTCTTGTACATGCTGCGCACACAATAACAGACCATCGAAATATCAAAAAGCAAAGAAGTAAAAAAAATGAAACAAACCTCACACCCCGAATGGAGTTGGCAGTGAAAAGAAAATCGTGAATCAAATGGCATTTCCTTTCATCGTGATCCACACATAGGTTGAAAATCTGCAGAGATTTCTCTTCGTCGTCCAGATTGACGCTGATGTGCGATGGCATCAATTCATTATTTGCTTCTTTTATCACGATCTGCAACATTTTTGAAACGAATCTGATCATGTTGGACATAGAAATTTCACTTATTTACGCCTGGCTTCTGAAATTATAGACAGAGATCATCTAAATAGCCAATTCGACTCGAAGCAGATCTTATTATTTCTGGAATAAGCTGAAATGGCCAACAATAAACGAACCTGGACAGAAATAACCATGAAATACATGATCGAAGAAATGTAAGAAATAATTACCTCGAACAAAATACTGTACAAAGCCAACTTTGAAGTATTCTAGAATTCTTTGCAAACGTCCATCTCGCTAACCAGTGTCATGCAACGAACCAACGTTACAATTTAGGAGTAATTTTGTTTAATAACATTCCAAGATGCTCGGATCGATGCAAACATACATGAACCAAAAACTGGATTCAAAAATATCAACAACAAAAAAAACTTACCGGAAAGCGAATTGTGTCTGAAAGCTGGTCGCTCGTCTTCGTAGCTTCCACGAAGTACTCCAGCCAGAAATTGAATAAATGCTCATCACGGGACAAATCCTCCTCGGGCTTCTTACAAAACATGCTGATCAGGGTGATATTGCCAATAGTGGACTTCAAATACCATCCAGGCGGTTTGAGATTGAACATGCATTCTGCAGCTTGAACAGCCTTTCCGTGCTCCTCAGCAAGCACGGAGATTTCAAAAAATGTCGCAACATCCCAGTAATCTTTCAGGCTCGATAAACTACCTTTACGGCCGATCAAGTTGTTCAGCACCAGACCTTAAAAGAGACAGTGACTGCATTACTAAAACTAATACCCCAGGACATCACTTTCAGGACTAACTCATGCTTGACCACCTCACACAATGGAATGTTCGAGTTCTTACACTAATACTTGGTTTCGTTTTAGTGTAATCTCCATAATGGAAATAGCGTCAACATGGTTCAATGTGCCATAAACCTTAAAAACCTGCACCCAGGTGAATTAAAAAACCGATTAACCAGTTACTCAAAAGTTATACCATGTCTCATAAACTGTCTTCGGTTATTCTTCATTGACACTCACAGCAACCCAGGAGCATCGGGAGCTCTCCAAAAATTGAATTCACTAGAACATTTAGAAAGATAATCTCGGTTTTCTGGAGCCTCTCTTATTTGGACGCAGAGCAAAACTGAAACAATCAAGACTTAAATGCCTTAAATTGTATTTAACATCCTCGTGATATTCGAAGATAATTTATTATGCCTCAATATAAAATAGCAATAAATTCTCGCAAACGTCTCCTTTCCGTTTAAATGCTCCGAAAATTAAAGAAACTTGCAATAGAAAGGGCTAGAAAGATATTTCAGGCTATTCCAGGGCAACACATGCCACAAGTTTGAAGTTACAGATGAAGGAAGGAGTACATGATTTGCGTTAGATGATACAGTGACACGTGCGCGAACACAACTGATGACACGTTGAAGTAATAAAAAACGGATCTCATTCAACTTGCAGAATCATTGGAAGAAGTACTAACCAACGTGTTGCAGCTCAGAAGAAGTGCTGAAGTCATTGCCGGCAATTCGAAGCAGAGTTGCGAGGTTTACTCCTGCATATTCATTCGGCTGTACTTTAAAACCTTTGCGGTACCAGTGTATTGCATTCTGCAGAGCCTCTTGATCCTCATAACCCGACTCCACAAACTTATCTTTGTTAATCCTCCCGCACAAACAAACGATGTCTGGCACATGGTTCTCTTCATTTTCCAAGGCCTTATTAATGATGTTCAGCGCTTTTTCAATATCCCCTTTGCACTTTCGACGATTCAAAGCGAAGGCATACAGGAATATAATCGCAGGAGTACTGGTGCAGTTCCTATGACTCGGTAAAGCTTTGAGATCTTCCACGAGCTGTACCATAGCTTCGTAATCCTTGGAAGGAAACGATAAATTCAACAATTGAAAAAACAAAAACAATTCTACAATTCTACCTGAATCTCTCGAAATGATATCAACATGTTGAGTACAACATCTCCCGAAAGCAAATCAGGATCATCCAGACGCTTGCGGAGGTTATGAAGTGCCTTTTGGAGGTCTTTGGCATTGTATTTCTCCCTCGTTTGACGTAAATCAGCCAAAAACTTTTCTTTCATGTGAGCTCTGGGGATGGAAACATTTCGATAAACAAACGTCCTGCTCGAAATCAATGAAAAACCCACTTTGACTGCACTTCAACGTCCTGAAGCAAACCGCAAATCTTGCTCGCCAAAGAAAATGGCTTCACTGGAAGAACTTCTTGACTTGCGTTTAGCTCAGTTGCCATGCGCAAAGCCGTGTCCGCAACAGCACACGTGCCTTTTGCTTCATTATACGCGTATGGAATGAATGGATATCTGCCACAAAGTTGCTAAAGAAGAAGATTAGATCTCACATTAAACAATCAAAAATGGCCTGCACCTTGGTTGCATATTCACCTTCAGTGATTCAGTCAACGCAGAATCGGTTTCGTTGTACAAGATAATGTTATGCTTCATCTCAAAACTTTCTCGCACACCTAGATGGTAGAACAGGGTTGACTGTTGCACAGGAATCGACAAGTCAACAATGATGACATCGGAGTTGTAAAACGTATCCAGTACGTTTGTTTCGCCGAAATCCAACTTCTCGAACTGAGAGAAATAATCAGGCATTCCAATGACAGTAGAGACTCAAGGAAGTTGGAAACCCACTAGTATGTGTGTGAAAGCAGCTCCAACAGCATTACAGGCATTCCGAACATCGTCGAGTGCTTTTCGGCGGGCAAGGGCTTTCCCTGGGTTAGCTTGGATGTCCAAAACACATGCAACTTCCATCACAATGCGGTACTGTGCATGTCTGCCCGGGAGTTTCTTCGGAGTACTCTCTACGACACTCGAACCAGGGTATGATTTATCGCTCATCCTGCGGAATGCAATAGAATTCCACAAATTCAGATGAAACTGACACAAAAGCTCCACTCAGAAGTTCAACGGAATCTTTCATGATTGTACACAGACCGAGCAGTCTTGATGAATATGAGACGTCCCCGAAGCAACGCATGACGAAGTTCATTGACGTTACCGAAGAGCAATCCGTACCGTCTCGCACATCAGTGTAGTCATATAACTCAACGACAAGCTTTTCCCCATTAACCGTGCAACACACATAGAGGCCAGCCAACATATCCTAACCTACATTGCAATGTTCAACAGTACCCCAACACGACTTACCTGAGACTGTTGAAAAACGAAATTCCCAGACTGTACAATGAGACGTGACGTCACTTCAATCCGTGGATTTTGACAATGTTTGACGTCTTCCGAGGGTACCTCGGCACGCGGAAAACCGCAGTTTCCAGGCTCAAATTGTAGAGCTTCTCATCAAATGGTATTTACTAATCTTGCAGACCAGGAGCGTGAAAATAACACTGAATATTGCGACACGCGGAAACCCCGGGACTTCAACCTAGTAATCCACCACCGGAGGCTCCCATAACTGGCTTTGAGACGTAACTCCCAGAACTATCGAGAACTCCGATCAACGAATAGGCAACTTTTTCACGATTCATGAGAGAGCACGCGTTTTCACATCGCCTGGGAGTCACACACTCGTACGCCAAGAACTGTGGATCAGCTGAATTGAGTTTCACAGAACGATCAGTCCACGGAACTTACGACCTGCCAAAATTACACTTGTTCTCACACGTGATCTTGGAGGAGGAGTCAACTGCCTTCATAAGAATCAAAAGTAAATGAGAAGGATCGCGGCTAGACGTACGCCAAAACATGATTCGTCCGCGGTTGATAAGAATAGGGCTGAAAGAATAGATGTAGAACAAATATGAAACTGTAAAAATGAATGTTTCTTATGCCATAAAAAACGGGGTTAAAATGATGGATGCAAGATATATACTATATATACTCTAATAGGACAATATGATTTTTATCCCTTTGAAAATAAAGTAAACAACACTGTGTTAACACTGCTTCAACAGTGTTGTAACATATAGTTATCATAAACAACACTGTGTTAACACTGCTTCAACAGTGTTGTAACATAGTTGTCATAAACAACACTGTATTAACAGTCTTAACACTGCTTCAACAGTGGTGTAATAGTGTAAGAATAAAGAAATGTTTTATGAGTTAGGACATAGACACAGTGTATTACTTACAATTTTGATATATTGCAGTGTATTCCCTGAACAAAGTCATATTGTGGTACTGATTATTCTTATATATTGTAAATGTGTATTTCATTATTTTGAATCTTTCCATGGCTTTAAAGGCTTTTGCAACAAGAAAATGTTGGAAAATGTTTGTAAATATCAATTTATGTGTTCCTTTCAATTCAAGAAAACAACTGTGTTAACACTCCTTCAACAGTGGTGTAACATTGTTGTCATAAACAACACTGTGTTAACACTGCTTCAACAGTGGTGTAACATTGTTGTCATGGGATGATATTTGTTGGAGTATTGCAAGTGTATATGTCTACTGCTGTGTGTAAATTCAAATTGTATTTTAATATGGTGTACAAATGCATCAATTATGTAAATTCTCATGCTTTTTAAAAGCATTCACAAGTGCTCTCATGAAGCGCAACATGGTCATGTTACAAAAGTGTTGTAGCATGATGATAACAGTGCTGTAACAGTGGTGCTATGTTATTCCATGCATGATGTGTATTCCGGATGCAAATTCCATTATGTTAATTGTTTAGAAGTTATTTTACAATTACATTTGTATTAATATCAAATTATTAATCATTTATTGAAATTTAATTGCAGGGAAACAATGTTTCATAAAGGGAACCTTTCTTTCATAATCACTTTTTGTTTATTTTTTAATAACTTTACCTTACATAACATGTACATAAAGTGTACAAAATTCAATATGCATAACTTGCACATTTTCAATCATTCTCTCTATCAATACTAGTAATAAGTAAAATTGTTTCAAAACACAATATTTGGAATGAGCTCAGCATAAGCTCTGTGATGTGCAATCTGCACTGCACCGCACAGCTCTGCAGAAAAAACATGGATGCCTCCCTAGCTCATCTGAGTTAGAGGAGCAACCAAAAAACAGTGAACACACCAGTGCACATACATTGTTCTTTATATTTTTGTGAAATTTGTGAAATGTTCATTTTATGATGTTACTTTTTGGAATTAGAACCTTTAATGATGTAGTATCATTTGTGTGTGGCTCTTTTTGTGTTTTATAAGTGAATAATCCATTATTCAACCTCATTCAAAATAATTCAAAATCAGTTTCTGCAAGATTTTAATGGTTGAAACCTTAAAAAATCATTGGCTAGCTCTTAAGAAATTTTGAAACTATTGTATGAGATCATTATATTCTTTTGTGTTATAATCTTCAACCAATTTTTGGTGTTTATTGAAATTTTGGACTGTTACAGCAGATGTTGTGTGGTGTGAACGTTTCTACATAGTTTGACAAAGTTTTTGAAAATTGTGTTTGGCAGATTAGTGAAAAACCTGGTGGAGAATTCCCATGTCAAAGTTCTACAAAGTTTTCGAAAATTTTGTTTGGCAGGTTAGTGAAAAACCTGGTGGAGATTTCCCAGGTCAGCTGTATTTTGGACTTTTTCAGCAGCTGTTGTATGGCCAGTTTGTGAAGTGGAAATTGGGAAAGTGTCTGTAGACAAGTACTGTTGTGTGCTTCTTAGAAGCAGCAGGAGATCCCTCACTCCTTCACTTCTCATCCCTTCTTCAAAGTTGCATCATCATCAAAATGCTGTGCGGTTAGTACTTTTTCCTTACTTTCATGTTGGTAGTGTTAGAATTATTTGCTTCTTTGATTTATTTGATTTCAACACTCATATGTCCATCATACTTCCATGGAAGAGCTAACACCAGTGTTTTTTGGATAACATTAATTGGTATAACATTGGTGACTGCTTAACAGTGTTGGAATATTGTGCTAACAGTGTTGCAACATTGTGCTAACAGTCTTGCAACATTGATACTACTAACATATGCACTTTAACAGTGGATGCGTTAGCAGCATCAATGCTGTAATGTTATTGAGAATGTTTCAACAATGTGTAAACTTGTGTAACAAATATTTTGCCAATATTTGGATAACATTGGTATAACATTGTTGACTGCTTAACAGTGGTGGAACATTGTGCTAACAGTGTTCTAACAGTGTTGCAACATTGATAATACTAATGTATGCACTTTAACAGTGGATGCGTTAGCAGTATCAATGCTGTAATTTTATTGAGAATTTTTCAACAATGTGTAAACGTGTGTAACAAATATTTGGCCAATATTTGGATAACATTGGTATAACATTGGTGACTGCTCAACAGTGTTGCAACATTGATACTACTAATGTATGCACTTCAACAGTGGATGCGTTAGTAGTATCAATGTAATAGTAATTAATAATGTTTCCAACATTCTGTCAACTTATAATCTCCTCGGGCTGATTTATTTCTGATCCACATGAGTGATGTATATGTATGTTTGTCTTCTTGCTTGCTCCACAGGGATATACATTGAATGTTGTATGTCCCACATGTTTTTTTCCTTTTTTTAAGGAATTCTTATACAATAGAGGGGTTTCTTATAATCTCCCCAAGCTAATTAATTTTTGTCCAACATGAGTGTATGTATGTATGTTCTCTTGTTTCACAGGGATTGACATTATTTAATGTTCTATGCCCCACAGGTTTTTTTCCTTTTTTTCAGGAATTCTTATACAATAAAGGGTTTCTTATAATCTCCCCAAGCTAATTAATTTCTGTCCAACATGAGTGTATGTATGTTCTATTGTTTCACAGGGATTGACATTCAATGTTGTATGCCCCCCATGTTCTTTTTTCCAGTAATTCTTTACTGCTTTTAAATATTTACTGTGCATATGATGGAAGCCTTGAACTAAAAGAATGCACTCTCTGTCCTCAGGTGGACCAGGACCTGTCCTCTGCAGTCTGGATATCCAATGAATTATTTGTGTAAAAGTGAATGAATATATGTTACATAAAAACACACTTGTATGCACTTCTAAAAAATGACATGTATATCATACTTTCCTGTACTTTTAATGGCCTGTTTATAGTGTTTGTGTTTACATACATTTTCTTTTCTTTTATTCACAGGGAAAATGATGAATGTTTACAAAGTGAAACCGTGTCCCACTTTTGATCTTTCCCTGTGCAACTTCAATGTTTTTGATCAGTTTGTCAAAGACATTTACTTAAACAGAGGTGGTTGGCAGGCTGGGATGATAAAATTAAGGTGCACACCAGAATTAATTTGCACCTTAGACCCAAAAGGAAAAGGCGCCGTCACATGGTCTACAAAGGATGACACCATCTGGTCTTCCTTATCATCTGGAGTTGTCCGAACAGTTCTTCATCAATCAGTGGAAAAAGTTGATGAACGGGGAGGATTCAGAGTCCATAATGATGTGGATGTCAATAAGGGCAAGGAAGACATGTCTGCCTTGAACTTCTTCAAGAAGTTAAATGCATCTGGACAAATGCACCCTGTTGACAAAGATGGCATTCACGTGAATGGTGACCCTCCCACCTTGCCACCATTTCACCCTGAAGACAAATTGCCACAATTACTTGAAACTGACTGTGGCCTCAAAAGACGACAGCACCTATGGAATAAGTTGAGGAAGCTGAAAGTCAGTGAGAAGACACAACCAGTTCTTTATGTAACTGAGTTGCATCTTGATCCTGATGAGAAGCTTGCATCACGTGAGCTTTGTTGCATGAAGGCTCATGACATGGAGAAAGATGATGTAGAGGTGAATGAAACTTATAGTTAATCAACCTATATATGTATTCCCAAAAGCATTTGTAAACCATTTTTAACATGTGTTGATGTATATACATCAACACCTGTTAAAAATTGTTATATTATATTATACGCTTATATATACTTATATTACTGCACAATTATGATAAATCATAATTGTGCAGTAATATAAGTATATGCAACAATTTTTAACAGGTGTTCATATATAATCATAAATGTGCAGAAGTAATATAAGTGAGATTAGTAATATAAGTATTTCTGAAAACATTATTCCTTGAATGTTGACCACAATTTATTGACTTTAAATTTCTTATAATGCGTACAATGTTTCAGAAACAGCACAAGTATGACCTGTCTTCCCTGGTGGGAAGTGCCCTGGGAATGATGAATACATCATTCAAAACCAGGAAGTTCATGCCTGGAGTCAACTGGCCTTTATTTTTCCTGGGTTCACAAGACAGTGTATTTCCTATGCACTGTGAGGACATGGACCTGATGTCTGTGAACCTTCATTTAGGAGGACATAAGACAGCATGGCAAGTGTGATATCTTATTCTTATGCAATTTTATGTCCATTAACTAATAATTTTTCAAACAAATGTACTGCAGGTACTCAATCCAAGCCAAGGATGTGGCAAAGTTTGAGAATGTCCTGAAGCTGAAGTATGGAAGACAAGATGGAGATGCGTACTGCCCTTCTGTTGCAAGGCATAAGCAGTTTTTTTTGGATGAGAAGTGGCTTGCCTTCTATGGCATAGTTCCTTGTGTTGCTGTGCAAGGACCCTGGGAAATGATAGTGACATTTCCCAAGGGTTATCATCAAGGTTTGAA